ATGCTGGCTAATCGCACTGGCTGATCTGGTGCGTGTCGCCATTTTCATATTTTCAGGAATGCTTCACAAAATTCACTGTGAATTAGTCGTTAGCTGACGTGTACACAAAAAAGTGCCTGTTCGGCACACAAGCGATTCAACAGATGATCGTACATTGACGCATTTTCAAAGGGTTTTCTTGCAGGTATGCGTTCAAGACTGATGATTTATCAATCGCCGCCTTGGTTATTGCCTTCTTTCCCATTAGCCCTCATCGAATCAGCGACAACAGGCAAGTTATTTTCGAGGTAATTTTGTTTTATGAGCGATTTTATATTCAGGTTATTGTTAGTGTGCGAAATTGGCCCAGCTCATAATACCCGGACCAGCCAGGTCAAGTAAAAAAGATTTCTTTGGTTTGCAGAACTATACTTTTCCTCCTGCTCTGCAGGGGTGAATTTTTTGATTGGAAATTCAAGCGCCTTTTGAAATCTGCCGTTTCGAAACTGCATATTACAGTTTCACTGTCATACGGCATTTGGCTTCGGCGCTGAAACAGTACTCGAGATTTATTTGTTTTCGACAGACTCTATTTAATCGCGTCTTTTTATTTCTTCTTTTAAATAAAAATCGTATACCAAAAATTAGCTGGTGAGACTTTTCATTTAGTGCCATTTTTGTGGCCAGCCTGATCAAATGCAAAAGTCAGGCTGCTTTTTGGGAATTTATGCTGCAGCGGAATAATTTTAGTTGAAATTTGAGCTTTTCGCTGATTGAAATTTTGTGTTTGCATAGTGTTCCATCATCTGTTTTTATGAAATTGCGTCCTAGCAGGGCGATGAAATTTCATGAGAATTTTAAGCGCCGTTTGTAGTTTTTGATCTCAAATATGGTCGGTAAATGAAAGTCTGGCTCAATTATTGGCAACTCTCGTTTGACATTTCGGGAGTTTACTGAATGGTATTTTTAAAAAAAGAAAGCTAATAAAAGAGACTGCTTACGTCTGTAGTGGATATGATTGGATATATACAGTTTTGGCCGAAAAATATGACATGGCTGTTGCGGAACACATCTTAGTAAAGCTAGAACTTGACAGTTTGGTGGGGACGCTTTGAGATAGCTGCTGCTTTTTTTATCACATTTTGTGCATATTTAAGGGCCTACTTGCAACCGCTTCGATTGCTCTGGGTGATGGCAGCTGAGGAGCGTCTGCTATCTACGTATGATGCGGAGAAGGGCCACTTCCTCGAAATG